AGGTCACAATTTCCTATCAAATAATTTGTAGTGAAAAGTTTTATTGTAACGATAGAGATAAGCCAGGTGTTCTTACCTTGGCAATTTTCTAGAGTATCAAGTCGGAGTCGGAATTATAGATACTTTAGTATATGCCCTTTTAATATATATAAAACATTTTTGTAAGGCAATCTAACTTCTAATAAGATATCTGTTAACATCTTTCAGGCAATAGTGACGCCTTCACAGTTTTTAAAACTTAAGTACTTTTATATTTAAAATTAAGCCCTTTAATCTTAATTTTTTAAATTTGTCATACATCTCAACATTATTCATTAGATATATTACTCTACATTTATGACCAGCGAAATATTATAAACAAAGAAATAATGTAAACAAAGCAATATCCCTGACGAATTATATTTGGAATTTTGGAATGAGTTAATATTATTGTAAAACTTGTCTTAATTATTTTAGCTATGTGAAACTCAGTTAAAACTGTTGACTTCATAGCTATCTATTTTTTTGTGGGATGTCTTTTCACACTTCGATAACGAACATCCTTTATTGTTGTGATCTAGCTGTTCCTAACAATGGGTCATCAAATTACTTCAAATTAGTTGAAAAGATATCTGTGTTTTGCTAAAAATGCCAGATCCAAACAAAATTTCGATCGAAATCTCAATTAAAAGTATTTTGTATTTATATTTACTTTTAAAACCACAAAATGGATAACTCTGTAGTATTCGTATTTGTTTTTAAGAGTAACAATTAGAATCAAACTTCTCTATAATGGACGTCCCTATAACGAATTCCTCTCTATAACGAAGGTTTGTTGAAGACAGCGATTTTCATATATTTGAACCTGTAGCGAATTTCTCTCTAACGAATTCGTTATAGAGAGGTTTGACTGTATTTAAAAAACTGCTTATATAAAATAGCACCCCATAAATTATAGAATTTTAGAGAAACTTAATTAAATTATAAAACAATATTTTTAAAAACTAACATAAGAAGAATAAAGCCTTGTAAAATTTCAATAGCGAAATTAAAAAAAAAATTCTATAAGGAAAATTGAAGGATTGAAATTAATTTCTAGTTTATAGCAAGAAGATAGTCAAAATAACATAACAGAACACAATAAAATACAAAGAACGAACATTAGAGCAGCGACATGCAATAAATTCAGACAGGAAACAGTAATGCCACACTCTTATTCCAGCACATACGGAACGAACTTACCTTCTCGCCGGAATCGCTAGGCAAATAAAACACCAACACTGTAAGGAACGTTAGAGCAACACACGGTACTATTAAGTTGACAGTGTAAAAAAGTGTTTTACGACGCATTGTTAGCTTGAAAGTTATATCTAAAATAAGTAAATGGATTTTTTTAAGATTTAGTAACTTTTCGTAGTTAACAATTAACGTAGAATTAATTTGGTGATTCTTTCTTCCTTTAAACCCTTTTCAATTTTTATACCCTTTAATACCTGAAAATGGTTCCAATGTATCGGGGTAATATTCTTCATTTTTAGTAGCAGGAACTTCAAGGATATCCCATTCGACTGATAAATAAAATTCGCTTAAATCAATTCCAATTTGCACTAGATTACTGCCAGGAACCTGAAATTTTTACAATATTAAAAAAGTATGAATATTTTATAGTATAAATTTATTAAAGTATAAAATTTAGATTAAAATAAAAAATACAAATTCAATAAGCAAGCAAAATCAAAAACTTTCATTCCCAGCTATTTTTTATTTGTCTACTCTCTGATCAATTTTTTAATTCTTCTATTCAATCAAAGTCATAGTACATTAAGCGCCTCACATGTACCACACCCATGCTTTCTGCTTTAGATAAACCTACACCTCTAGGTGTCTAGACCTTTTGACCACATCTCCACCCCTAAATTACTATAATGAAGTTTCCGCATTCCAGTGGAAATATTCTCCATTCATTCTTAAGAGGTGATATTAGTGGGTTAAAGTCTGACACTGTAGCTTTTGATGCTTTCCACCCACTGCAAAAATAAAATACATTAAGCGTCCAATCCTAAACTAGGCTATATATAATCATCATAAGTGAAGTGGAATATCAGCTCTGTTGATCCACTTAAAAATAAGATATTTGGCAGATCAAAAAATAGTTAATTCTAAAGCTATATTCGTGACTATATCTCGCTGACTATTTTACAAAACATGTTGATCCTTTGATAGTTTGATTTTCTAATCATGAGGATAAAGTAGGAAACAAACATACTAATGAGCCATTAATAGCACCTCCATCATTAGGGATTGATTTGCGATTGTTTTAGATTTTATAACACGCCAACAAGAATTGCTCAAATTCTACCACAACACTCAGGTCAGCATAAAAACAAAATGAAAGTTTATAAAAAAAATATTATTTCTAACGGGACACCGCACAATTGGATAGGATGGAGCTGGATAACCGGTGTGTATAATCTCTTTCATTGGCTTAAAAGGCAGTTCTGCCTAAACACCTGTAATGATACTTTTCTAAACCCAAACAAATAGACGCGCTATTGTTCAGATTACTTTACAACCTTGTCAGTGCACAAATCAGTTTAACATTAACTCCTTAAAATTATTTAGGAGTGATATAAAAAATAATTCCATCGTTATAAACAAAAAGCACCACCTCGATGACTCGACCTCGACGTACTAGAACTACGATATACAGTGCCTATGTCTTTCATTCTTGAAATTTTAGATTATGTCGACTTAAACCTTCCGACACTTTTGTTAATAAGAAAAAAATATCGTATCTCTAAAAATAATACAGTACTTTTAAGTCTTTGTGTATTAATTAATTGAACGACATATCTATACACGTCAACAGTTACTTGCAAACTAACTCACCTGATCCAAATGCTTCAAATCCACCTGTGCGCCATTATAAGTCCATGAACCAAATTTCATGAAGCATATCTGTTCATCATATGGGAAATACTCGACATTCATTTCGCAAGATGATTTGTAAATTGCGGGTGGTTCCCAAAATACTTCACCGGTATATTTTAGTGTAGCCTTTGTCATCAACGTGACCTGGAAAATATTTGTTTCATCAATAAGTTTATAAGAAAATATATAAAGCATAGTTTTTTTCTAAAATTACTTAAATTTTTATATAACTAATTAAATA